ACGCATCTTTAATTCTTTTCAAGTCTTGGATGACACAACCCCCATGGCTTCTAAGACATCCAGGGAGAGACTGTTGTGGTAAGTTTGCAGAATGAACTTTTCCGTGACCGGGTCTCGACAGTTCATTACCTTATTCCGGAAATGCTTGACGAAATGTCAACTGACTCCCCATCTTTTTGTTTTTTGTCCAGCAGGATTCCGATTGACACTTCAGTGTCGTCATCGAAAAAGTTGGTGAGGAACAAGCTTTCCATATCGTCCCAGCTATTGATGATTCTAGGTTTGAGACGTCGGTACTAATCGAAGGCAGTCCCACGAAGGGTGCTAACGAATGACCAGACCATCAAAGCCTCATTCCCAGAGATCATGCCTAGGTGGGACTTGAAATAAATCAATTGTTGAGCGGGTGAGCATTTCCCGTTGAATGGTGTGAAGTTAATTAGATTGAAATTCGCTGGATACGAAATTGACTCACACTCTCTTGGATATGGACACTGGATACTAGTCTTCTTCACCTCTTGAACTGACACCAGAGCATTAATTTTTTTTTCGAGCTCTTTCATCTTCTTATCCTCGCCTAGATCTTTCTTCGGGTGATTTTGAGGAGGATGAGGAGATTCTGTTAGACCACCTCTAGTGTTATTGTTATTGGGAGGAGAGTCAGCAAAAATAGTCTCGTCCACATCCGAGTCGTTATCAACCACATTTGTTTGAACAAGTGTGGTATGGTGACGGCTGGACTCAGCCTGTTGACTTGGCTCACGTTGTTGATGAGGTCGTTGAACATGCAATTCCCTCATTTGCTGCATAGTCAATTCTATCTCTATTTTTATTTCAGCTCTGATTTCTTCTCATTGCTTAGCCAGAGCTTCTTGAAGCATTTGGACTAATTGATCAGGCGTGATAGTAAATGCCTCTCTAGCTTGTCCTACACTGGACATTGTATCGTCAGATGCGATTGCAGAACTAGCATCCGAAGGCTCGTCATTTGGAGATAATCCTTCATGCATTCTCCTATAATCTCTACGTCTAGTAACCCTTATCTACAGCCGCGATATTCTTTGAGAGAGCCTTTGATCAACCCTTCCTTCTGGAGAAAAGTCGGGATTAGAATTAGTGGCATGCTGTTTTCTTTTATCAGCCATGTTGATAGCGACTTCTGAAAATTCTCTATCTTGAGTGGCTGATCTTTTCCTGTGGAAACATCTCGGTTTAGTTCTTGACGCTTCGGTGGAAAGTCTTTGAAATACAGAGACCCTCTGTGGAGCGGTCTTTGAGCAACTACATTCAGATAATACTATCCTGATGAGCTTCTCACATGACAATGTGGACTCTTTTCTCGAACAGTCCTTTTTTGGGATTTATTCACACCCCCAACCTGATAGTACAACTCATCGGCATAATGGCCGGAGCATCCTATCGTCTGTTGGTATGATTTCCTCCTTTGGTGACGTGTGGTCTTGTTGACGTTCTTAGGAAAATTTGTCGTTATCGAAGTTACATCAGGAGTCGCATGTTTGGAACCACCCTATTGCGAGTGTAGAATCTCAACGGGCTCATAGGTCTCGACACGAACTCCCAGATAAGAGGTGATAGGAATTCTCCTAGGAGGAGAGGCCTCCTTGTCTTTATCATGCAACTTACACGAACAGGTACATCGAGGTGTCTCGGTTGGTTTGGAAGCAGCGGGACACCTTTGAGCAGTAGTTAACTTCATGGGAGGATGCGTACGACCCCCTGACCGAGGAACTACTTGGGTTTTATCCACCAGACCTAAACGTTCTTTTACTAGAGCTTTGCCTCGATCTTCATGCAGAGGACCAAGGCGATCCGCCATCGTGATTTTAAACTTTGATAGGTCAGGACTGACCCAAGGCTTCACTGATGGTGTAACAGATGTAGTTGGAGCAGACAGACGAGGAACGAATGTTGACGTAGTTGACGAAGCAGTCGCGGGGGCTTCCCCATGAGACACTGTCTAGTGTCTCGGTTAAAGGGAACCGCCTCCGAGTCTGATTTTCGTGTAAGTTTAGACTTTAGGATCCAAACTTTGCGGGCTTTTGGTGGTTCTTTGGCCATCGTTTACTTCTTCATTTCTTGTGTCTTCTGCACAAGGACACGGGCGTGAGCGATATTTGCACGACGCTTTTGGATGTGTTCATTGAGAGTTGAATGTGTTCTTTTGACTTGGACCCATTTTTCAGTTAATAGCTTGGAGGAGATGTCGGTAGTCTGCCTTTGAGGTGACCGACTCATTTAACACCTATTTGATTCAAGGTCCACGTAGTAGCGAACTCTGTCAACTTGTTCCATAGCCTTAGCTAGCTGATGAGAACGACGCTGGCGTTGTCTCTGACAAGCTCTCTTCATCAGAATTGGCGAACTTTTATTCAACAACTCCTTGATAGGAAATGAATCGTCGTAAGCAGAGGTTTCGGCATTGTTGATTGCCGGAACAGCGTTACGAGGAGAAGCCTCGATAATAGTTGGGCGAGAGTCATCACCCGTAGCCTTCATCGGAGTTGAAGACCAAAAAACCTTCTTTGAATATGAAATATTCCTGCATTTGTGAGGAGAGGAAGATCTTAAGGAGGAGGATGAGAGGTACTCCTCGAACTTTACTTGGTCGAACTCGTATTCGACCGTGGAATCAATTAGTATCTTGATTGGTTGCGACACGATAATCTCCACAGCGAGACTGTTTGCTCCCACTGTGGTCGCCAGAGTGTTTGCATCGAAAGTTGGTTTATTCATGGAACTCATTACAACTTTAATCGTTACAACAAGTTCAAAAGAGTTAGTCTTCTTATAATACTTTTCTTACACGAATAAAAAATAAAAATACAACTCTCTAGAAACACATGCAGAGGATGTTTATCACCCACTACTTGCGTGGGATCTTTGCCTGTACCAGGGGCGTGTTAGCCCGTGGACGACTGAATCACAAATCCAGGTTGAATCGTGAAGAAGGCTTGGTGTCGATGTTTCATTTTAGAAACAATGACTAAAGTGAATATCTTATCGGTGTAAGATGAATATTCTTCTCAAGATCAAGTCAAAGCTTAGATCTCGAGGAATCACCAAAATCTCCTGAAAGCACTTGAAAGTGATGAAAACTCTCTTTCTATTGCTCGAAATTAGCCAAAATGCTAGTGTCTTTGCCTAGAATCTGCTTGGTCCTCCTGCATATGGGTGATAGGGACGCATTTATAACCCCTAGAAGTTGTATTTGAAGGTAGAAAATCAAAACAAAGCCCAACTGACATCCTCCATTTCTGAGACACGTTCTGTGTCTCAGAAGAAGGAGCTCAGCCAGTCAGTTTTGTAATTGATTTCTCCATGTTTAAGTGCCATTATTTCTGCAGTTATGAGCATACTTTTTGTTTGTAACGGTCCTCCCATGTTCACACACGATCTCTAACAGTTATGAAGCCACGTGGACCGCACAAAACCCAAGAAAACTATCAATGGAAGTGTGAAACTCCCCGATAGTTTCCGAGATAGTTTTCGTGTCTCGGAAACTATGGGTTGTCTCATAGCTTCTGAGACAAGTTATTTGTCTCGGAAACTATGAGCTTTCTCAAAGTTTCTTAGACAATTTCTTTGTCTCGGAAATAGCATGCTTCCCATTGTTTCTTCGTCGTTTTGTATTTTTATGCATTCCTTGTATCAGATGATCCTCTTTGACTCAGAGGATGACGTTTATCGTATTCTCTTCCTCTCGAGCTGTGTGCTGTGTTCTATAGGTAGTTTTTAACGTCTACCGTAAGCTCACTAAGGTAAGCATATTCACCTATCATTATTTTAGAAATCCTAAACTTTGTTTGTTTCAACTACCTGTTACAAATTCTAAAATTCGTTATCTTTGAGTTTGAACCAAACACGATATTATAAATTGCAGGATTTGTTATCCTATAATAATGTTGAACCAAACAAAATTTTAGAAGTCCCAAGACATGTAAAAAAAAATCTATGGATTTTGTTGATGTTCAGTGATCACACAATCAATTATAATGGTTGAGGGTAAGATTGATGATGAGGGGCCGCTTCCTTCCCCGAATATCCGATTCTGAGTTTAGTAGCTTAAGCTTGCATATATAATAGTTCGTGAGAGGACGGGGCTTGGTTCCGTCGTGGTTCCTCCAATGATCAAGTCAGCTAGTGAATGTGAGTGGGAAAATGAAGAACTGCGTGAGTTCTTTTGTATAGTGTATTTGCTTAAGATGCAATCAAATTAGATCAGATCAGAGGTCTCAGATCAGATCCCCCGGTATGTTAGAATAATACCTCTATTTATACTGGTGGTATAAGGATAGAATGGACACTTCGGCCGAGCATGGGATGGCGGTGAGCGAGCATGGGCTGGCTGCTGCGTCATCTCCTACTTTATAGGTGTCGGCTGATGACTGGAGAAAGATCACCTCAGTGCATTAAATGAGAAGCGATTGGAGGCATGACGATGTCGACGTGACCTGATGAGTCATGAAGACTATCGGGGCTAGAGGCATGATAGCTCCTGCCAAATATTAAATGCGATGCTGACACTTTGTCAGTGGGAGAGGCTCGAGGTTGGAGGTTGGAGTCGTTCTTTAGCTTCACCGAGAAGTAACGCCTTTCGAGTCGACCTCGCAAGGCGTCGAGTAACTGGTCGAGTGAGCTCGTTGCGAGTTGTCTTCAATAAGAGTATCGGCAAGTACCGCCTTTCGAGTCAACATTAGGGGATGTCGACTCGGCGAGTCAGCTAAGTCGGGATCTTTGCTGGTCTTTGGCCGCCAATTTGATTGGGGGATTACATGCAGAAGTACACATGTCCGTTGCTGGTAAAGGGTTACACTTTGACGATTGAAAACACCATAACAAATTTCAAATCCCCTAAAGAATTATAAATTCTATAATTTTGGCATTTGAACACCAGCACCTTAGAACCTTTACAATTGTTAAATTAATAACATTGACTACTTAAGTGGGTCCCATACTATATCTCAAAACGGATCCTCATCCAATCCAAAATATCTCTACCGTCTCCGCACTCCTTAAACCACATCAACATATCAAAACTCGCAGCAAACCCATGAACAAGCAAGAACAAGAATGAGGACTGGAACGAATCACTTGTCCCTGTCCCTACCCCCATCCTTAACCCCACCAAGAACAACACCCAGAATCCTATCCCAACAGCGAAGCCCGGACCTTTTCCGCTCCGGCGCCGTGCGGGCGATTCCAGCGAAAGACGCGGCGGCGGCGATAAAAGACGAGGGGTTCCGGCTGCTTGACATAAGGCCGGCGTGGGAGAGGGAGAAGGCGAGGGTGAAGGGCTCACTCCACGTGCCTCTCTTTGTGGAGGACACTGGCGTGGGGCCCATCCCCCTGGTGAAGAAGTGGGTGCATTTTGGGTACATTGCCTGGACGGGGCGGGCCTGACGGAGATTTAATGAAGGTTCGTGAAGGAGGTGGAGGGGGTTGTGAGTGATAGGGAGGAGAAGTTGCTTGTGGCTTTGAGGGTCTCAGGTAAAAATTAAACAACTTAATTTGGAACTTTACGTCCATTCAATGCAATTCTCTATGTTTTTTTTTACTCAATTTCTATTATATATATATGCAGATGTTCATTAGGAGGGATCGACTGTTGATTAATAATTAGAATATTTATCCTTTCCCCTAACCATTAATATCAAATTGTTGTAATTAAGTAATATTGTTACAGGTCACTGATCGCTGTAAAAAAATTGCACAAGGAAGGGTACAAGAATTTAGGGTGGCTGGCCGGAGGTTTCAACAAAGCCAGCGACGCTGACTTCCCCGATGTTGAGGGGACCACCAAGTTGCAGTACGCCACCATTGGCGGAGCTTCCTACTTCTTTCTCCAAATCCTTTTGTTGCTGAGAGTAGTTGGCAATGACGACAAATGATGAGGGCTTGAGCTCTCTATTTGGTTTGGATTTTTGTTATTTGAGTTCTACTAATCTGCCTTGGAGTATGATTGGCTTTGCATTGTTTGCTCGATCATGTGTGGAGGTTGCAATATTCAAATTGTTTTTATTTTTATTCTCAAGGACTGTTTGATTCGCTGAAAGTGTAATTGCGATGTAAGTGTCAGTTTCGTGCAATTACAGTTGCAGTTTTTTTGGTTCTCTTTTTTTCTTTCAATTTGTAGTTGCAAATGTAGATTTCTATTTTAGAGCATCACATTTTTCAGACTTTGAACGGCGGTTGATCAGAGTTTTGGGTCACATTTTAAACTTCATTTACTATTCTAAAATATCATAACTTCAGCTTATGTCCAAATTAAGCTGCATAGTTGTCAATTGTGACTAGAATTCTTCTTTTCACAAATGCAGCTTGCAGTGAAACAAACACTTGCAACTAATCTAGAAAGTACTCTCTAGCTAGGACGCAACCTTGCGATTATAACAAACCAAATAGGCGCAATCAAAATTCACATTATTGAGCTTTGTTAATAAGAGTTTTATGTATACGAATCATTTATATCATGTGCTAACGTCTTCATGCAACACGTAGTACGTCTCCATAATTTTGTAACAAGTAAATCTCCTTACCAATTTGTGTTCCACGAATAATATTCCATTTAGTGCTCAGTTTTTTGAATAATTCCTAGTGGTGTATCTTTGTTAAGTACTTGTGATCTCCTGCATCGTCAACTTGTTCCAAGGTCTATCTTAATATATATATTAGTATTTCAGTCCACGTGACATAACATAGATTTATGGAGAATTGGATAGTTGAATTGTGATGGAAGTAGGCAATTGTTAGTTCCTTTTCCCTTCCAAATTTGAGTGCATTTTCGATGATTTCTTCTAGCAGTAAGCTATTTCCACGGATTTTCACAAGCATATCTTTTTTCTTAAATAGGGTTAATTTCACAGCATCTCCATGAACTTTGGAGTCTCTAACATGTTGTGTCCAGTAGAAGCGGACTCAATCCACAACAAGTCGGTAAGCAACGCACGAAGAACAATACGAGCACAATTCACAATGAGAACGACCAAAACCAATCACAAACACATAGAATTTACGTGGTTCGACAAATTTGCCTACGTCCACGGGGAGAGTATGAGAAGATTTCACTATATGGAGGAGAAGTATAATGGGTTACAACTCTGTCAAACAATCAAAATAACCCTAATCAACAAGATCTCACTCCCTCTCAATAACCTCCCTCTCAAAATACTCAAAACAACCTCTTTTCTCTGTTTAATCTCTCTCACTTAACTCTAAAAAATGTGCATCTAATATATATACCCAACTCCAATTAAATTAGGAAATAGGTTCGGCGAATTCCGACCCTGTAATGTGCACGCGATCAGTCGACTGACCAGCGTGAGATCCTGTAGCGTATTTTTCATGCGATTTTTTGTCTTTTGCAATAATTCCTCACCTTAGCGAAGTGTTCTCAAAACTGAGCCAACACCAACATGAGCACTAATGTGTCGTCTCTCCAAATCCAGCTGCACTAATATGGTTGCCTACGTACCCCCTCTCTCAAGGGATCAAGCCGCCCGTAGTTCATCCAAATAGCCTTGACAAGCCTCAACAAGCACGAATCCGCAACAAGTTTCTACAGTGATCGAACTTGTTGCTAGGGACCACCTTCGTGAGCATATATGCAGGATTGTATTTTGTGTGGACCTTCACAAGCTCTACATCCTCATCTTCAAGAACATCTCGGACGAAGTGATAGCGAACGTCGATGTGCTTCGTCATCGCATGGAAGACATGATTCTTCGTCAAATAGATAGCACTCAAGCTATCACAAAAATAGTGATAGACCGCTGTGAAGCACGAAGGTCCTCCAAAAGTCCTCGAAGCCAAATTGCCTCCTTAACAATCTCTGTAATTGCAATGTACTATGCCTCTATCGTCGACAAAGCAATTATAGACTGTAAGGTGCATCTCCAACACACCGGCGCACGGGTCAAAATGAACACATACACCGTCATTGACCGACACTTATCCAAATCTCCAGCATAATTAAAATTTACGTATTCAATACATAACTGCCCACCACTAGTGTCCCGCTCGAACATCAAACCAACGTTGAGAGTATCTTGAATGTACCTCAAAATCCACCTCATGGCATCCCAATGACCCGGACCTGAGTCATGCATGTATCGTGAAACCATGCTAACTGCTTGTGATAGATCCGGCCTCGTACATACCATGGCGTACATCAAACTTTTCACTGCACTTGCATAAGGAGTCTTTGACATCAACTCTTTATCTTCAACTAACTTTGGTAAAAGATTAGCTGAAAGCTTCAAATGGGCTCCTAAAAGTACAGTGACTGGTTTTGTCTCCATAATAACATTGAATCGCTATAACACATTCTTCAAATAAGCCACCTATATCAAACAAATTCTGTCATTATCTTTGACTCTGCCGACCTCTATCCCTAAAATACACTTTGCTTCACCCAAATCCTTCATCTCAAACTCACTTGAAAGCTGTATCTTCAATTTATCTATGGCGGATCTGGAAATGGAAGCAACCAACTGTGAACTTGTGGGAATTAGTGGGGCCACGCCCACGTGAGTTGAGCAGGACATCAAGCGGCAAGCAGCACGCGTGGGGGCCACATCCCTTTTGCGCAGGCAAAGCGCGTGGGGGTGCGAGTGAGGCCCAGTTTCGGTTTCAGCCTGGATTTTCTACTATAAATTGGAATTTTCCTAGGGTTTTGTACGTAGCAGGCAGAGGGGAGAAATTGGCTTCGTGCAAGTATGAAAAGGAAGAGGTGAATTTTTAGCTACGGGAGAAAAACGCAGAAGTTAGGTGTGTTTTGGAGCAGCCTTTTTTAGGGTTTTGAGCATCCTTTTGAGAGAGAGATTGTGAGGGATTTGAGAGATTGTTTGAGGGTTTAGGTTGTGTGATTGTAAGCCCTATTTGTATTCTCTCACTCTACTAGTAGATCTCCCCCTCCTTGTCCTGTGGACGTAAGCAATTTGCCGAACTACGTAAAATTAGTTGTCTCGCTTTTGTGTGATTTGTAATAGCTTATTTAGGTTCCCTCGACAGGTTAGTCTTAGAACTAATAAGAGAAAGAGCTGATATCCTACTTGATTGATATATTTTGCTTAAGGTTCTTGTTTCCTTTGTGAAACAAGATTTCCTATATGACCTGACTCTTTTGTTATACTGCCGAGGTGCTGCCAAAATTTATGCTACGCACAACAGGTGGTATCAGAGCCCAGATTTTAGATCTAGGGTTTTTTTGGAATTAGATGGAGGAAGATTCTTGTGTGAAGTTTGGTTCTTGGAGTTCTAGGCTTCGGTGGAGATAACATTAGGAGTTACCAGTAGACATTTCGCTTTCCTCGTGTGGACATGAGATCTATTTGGAATCTCATCTAGGGTTCAGTTGGGTAATTCCTAATTTCTATCAAAGTTTAATTTTTCCTCTACAACTTGGAGTTAGTTTGCAATAGAGAAAAAGGTGAAAGCAGCAAGTCGATGGCGAGTACAGTTCAAATTAGTTTTCAGAACACCAAAATTAGTGTGGCGAAGTATGACGGTAAAATCAACTTTGGTTTTTAGATGAGCGACGTACAGGATGTGCTCAATGCTCAGAACTTGGAGGAGACCATCATGGTCCACAAGAGACCACCAAAATATGAAGAGGCAATATGGGAAAATATGAATAGGAACGCTTGTGGGGTGATTAGGTCCTGTTTGGAATAGGAGCTGAAGTATGATGTGATTGGAGTGATGTCTGCGATAAAGATGTGGGAAATTCTCAACAATAAGTACCTTACGAAGAGTGTTGATAACATGTTGCATTTGCTACGTAGGTTATTCAGATTCCAGATGTCCAGAGGCACCTCGCTTGCGGCTCATGTGAACAACTATACGACGTTGTTGTCGGACTTGACAAATGTTGATGAGAAGATTTCAGATGAGTACAATGCTATTATCTTATTGGGCTCCTTACCGGATGAGGAGTATGGCATCGTTGTGCTCACTTTGTTAAACGAAAGATCTTCTATCAGCTATAGTAAAATTACTAATGCATTGACGAATTATGATTTGAGGAGAAAGGACAAGGAGTCTTCCCGTGATAGTACTTCAGACGAGGCCTTATTGACGAGAGGTAGAAGCCTATATCCGAAAGGTGGTAATAGAGGGAGGTCAAAGTTAAGAAGCCACCACCAATTAGCAAAGAACCAATGTGCATTCTGTAAGGAGCATGGACATTGGAAGAGAGACTACCCGAAGCTCAAGGAGAAGGAGAATGGTAAGAAAAAGGGCCCGAAGGCCAATGATGTGAATATTGTGAAAGGCGATGATTTCGATGATTTGAGCTTTTCTCTACTAATTACTCCAGAAGTGAACCACTTGGATGCATCAGATTAGATGCTTGATTCCGATGCTACCTATCATGTGACCCCTAGGCGAGATTGGTTTACATCTTTTGAGAAGCTCGATGGGGGAGTTGTAGTCATGGGAAATGATCAATCCTGTGGTATTTGTAGGATAGGTACCGTGATGATTCGGATGCACGATGGAGTAGTCCGTGAATTGAAGGAGGTGAGATTTGTTCCTCAGCTGAAGAAGAATCTTATTTCTATTAGAGCTTGGAGGCGAAAGGATTCAAGGTGACCTTTGAAAATGCTGTAGCGAAGGTTACTAAAGGATCTTTGGTGGTGATGAAAGGAGTCCGCAGCTAAAATTTATACTATCTAAAGGGGAGCTTCAAAATTGGCCAGGTTGCTTCGACTATTTCAGAGACGGACATGAGCAGGCTTTGGGATTATTGGTTGGGACACACAAGAGAGAAGTCACTGCAGGCTTTGTGCAAGCAGGGGCTATTAAAAGGAGCCAAGAGTGGTAAAGTAGAATTCTGTGAGCACTGTGTTCTTAGCAAGAAGACGAAGGTGAAGCTCGGGACAACCATTCATCAAACGAGGGGTATTCTGGACTATATGCACACAGACGTTTGGGGTCCCACCAAGACTGCATCACTTGGTGGTTGATATTGATTCATCACGTTCATTGATAACTATTCTAGTCGATGTTAGGTGTACACCATGGCAAAGAAGAGTGAAGTCCTAGATATATTCATGGAGTGGAAGAAGAGGTTGGAACTACAGACTGGGAGAAAGATCAAGACGTTGCGATCCGACAATGGTGACGAGTACACATCAGACTATGTCGAGACGAGGGAATAGAGAGGT